TATATATATATATATATGTATGTATGTATGTATATTTATAATGTATACATATATATATATATATATATATATATGTATATATATATTTATAGATCAAACCTATCATTTCATTGATACTCCAGAAAGTACAAGTTTCTGTTTCCGCCTGTCTTTGTATAATTTCGGAGGTCAATGTTATGTTTTTATGGCGCATTGTATTTTCTATTATGTGAGCGATTGTACGCGCCTACATGGTCACTGTACTCAAGATATACCATAAAATCTCTGTTGAAAACTATTTTTGCGGTCGCCACGGTTGCTTGTCAAGGGGTTCTCATGTAGATGAATTTATTAGAGCAATGTTTGACATTGCTGCGCCTATCCCTGCTCTAGGGATGTGCTGTGCGATGAGATGAGTCGTGCATGCTGGAAAGCTACGGAGGATGCATTATTTCACTTCGATGTGGATCTAGCAGTCAATCTCTACTTATCCGTTCATGCGGAAATGCCTTCGGACAACCCCGGAAATGAATTCATGGATATGAGTACACGCGTATGGTTATATCGATGGCATCAGCCGGATCATGGCGGTCTCGCCTTGACGGCATCTGAGGTGCACCATCTGCATCTTCAACTACGGAAAGCGTGTGTGGCAGGACTTGTATACCGCGTCCAATGGTATCTTCTGTTTTGGGGTGTACCTGTCGATCCGCCGAGTGGAGTGCCTAATCCTATGGGATTGTCACTCATGGATTATACCATCATCGGCCTAGGAAGTGAGGAAATGCTGTCATTGAGTGTTCGGTCTACTGGCTCCGAAAATATGTCAGACGAGCAAGATGGGTTCGCTTGGGCAAGGTGGGATTTCAAGACACCGGAGGGCATGTGGAGGAAAATGTTTGATAAAAGTACAGGTATGTCAAAGTACCAGGCTAGCGATCTCAGGAGGAACAAGCACTCCGCCTTATACTATTTACAGGAGATTTTACGGCCTGAGACCCGCAAGTGGGAGCGATGCCAGATTATGCACATACTTCTGAGGCTGAAAGGCGAACTATCGGTGCGTTTGGACCAGATAATCGGGCACGGCAGGAGCGAGATGCTCGGTTGGTTAATAAGCCAAGGACTCATTGATCTGAATCGCAACGTGCTTGTCGTTGCCGGTGGTCCCAAGATAGTAGTGGGCCATGATAAAAATACAAGCGCTCAACCTGCAGACGATAGTGCGCATGACAACAGCATGTGTGATAGCAAAGAATCAACGGAAGGGAACGGGAGCCAATCTAATGAGATAGGTGTGAGTGCCAATGTAGGGGAGAGGCCAAAACGAGAAGCAGATGCAGACGAGGGCGAGATTAACCGAGCGAAGCGGACGAAAGTGGCGTCAGAAGTCCCAGATAAAAATCAGGACAATAAATCGCAAGCAGGCGATACGGTCGACGGGGGCGAAGGCTTGCGAAATGGTAACATCGGTGAGGGGAGTGAAATGACAGAGTCAGTTGTGAATATATCACCGCCAGAAAACACTCGCGCATACGATGCCGAGTGCTGTGTTTGTCTTCACGTGCCGCGCCAATGGATCGTGCTTGTGTGCAAACACGAGGTGTGTATGGGGTGTGCTCATCAGCTATTGATGGCACCAACCGAAGACAGCGCTGACGACGCCGATGAGACCAGCAGGAACAAGATGATAACCTGTCCCATGTGTCGCGCGACTAATCCAGCGCCAGCGCCAGCGGTTAAGTATCTGGACGATCCGTTGGAAAATATGTTGCTTTTACTGAGCTATACTGCGCCGGTTCTGGACGAGAAGATCAAGGATATAGCAGATTCTGCTGCAGTGGGTGCTGCCCAGGCAGAACAACCAGTAGTCACACTGCATGAGCTGTTGGTGGCCTTCTGCGCGAATATAGGTGCTGTCCGTCCCCTCGCTTTGCTGTTGAGACATCCGCTTTCTTATGACGCAGGTTTGAGGGAGACGCCATGCCTACTGTTTAAAGACGAGTCGCCTTTGCATATGGCCGCAAGGGCAGGCCACCACGCCGTGGTGTGGTTCATCCTGTGCAGCGGCGAATACCCCGGAATAGTTCGTTTGTGCCTAACGATGGATTCGCTGTCCTCTGAAGGGTTTCATCCTATACACCTGGCGGCACTGGGCGACCACAGTGGTGTTGTTCAGATCTTCCTTGACATGGGGAGAATCGGATTGAAAGACCTTCTCGACAGGACCTACGAGGATCTTGTGAACAAAAACCGCGAGAAGTACCCGAAAATGGCTGAAATGGTGCGTAGAATTTTTCTACACTGGTTGCTACCCGTGAGTTGACGTATACTTGTGTTGCACTTTGTGTGGGCATTTATGCCAGTTGATCGCACATGCCAGAATATGTCTAGAGAGGGGATTGTTGTGGGAATTAAATCAATGTTGCGAGTGTGTAGATGAATATTGATTGGGCTACTTGCGCGACTGCAGAGTTGCCATAATTGTGTTAAGCACATAGAAGGGTGGATGTCTGTTTTGTTGAGTGGATCCTTATTTCGGACCAATTTCGTTGCAATCCGAAGGCGAAGCATATTGTTGCAATCCGAAGGCGAAGCATATGCGCTGATGAGTCATGTCTTCCATCACGGTAAGGATTCATAGAAAGCGTGAGTCTGGTATGTGGAATCGACACAGTTAATCAACTAATCTATACTTGGTTTTTCATTTTCACTCGCAGATCGACCATAACGACGCCTATTCATTCCTCGAAGAGCTTCTGCCTGCGATGATCAGATCCGAATCACCGATGGAAAAAATCACTGCACGAGCAAAGTTTGAGTATATGCCTGCATGTCCAGAAGAACTGTTTGATCTTATAGTTACTCATGATCGCGTGGACGTGTTGGAATGGTGTACGGAGAAAAGAGACCGATGTGACAGGAAGATTAGTTTCGATTGTATCGCGAATCATTCGAAGGCAGAAAAGGGTTCTAAAGTGGGGAAGTACCTGCTCCTGCAACGTGCGAAACGCGAACTTCCGGACGTTATCAGAAGTGATGCTCTACGCGAACTGGCAAGAGGATATGTGCGATGGCAGAGCTTCAAAGAGGAATGTGAAGAGTGGGATGATTACTATAAAAGTGTGGAGCTATCCCTGCCCGAGGCCGAGGTCAAGAGGTACAGTCTCAGGGAAGTGTGGGTGCGCGTGCTGACGTATGCGGTGAAAGCGAAGCAGGATGGTGACCTTGAAACACACGAACAGGGACAGTTGGAACTGGTGGAGTGGGTGCTGGACAGGTTAGACGCCGACCAAGATATACAAGTAGTGTACAGCGCCTGGGAGTATGCACTGCTGCATTATCTCCCTTGCACCGATCCGCTGAAGCACAAACTCAGGTCTGCCAACTTCGACTTCAACTCTACACGTGGAGGTGCACTCGGATCGTACAACGACCGGTTGTTCACTGTTTATATGTACCAGCCGTGGGATTCAACGCGACGTGACAAGGCGGCCGTGGGATCACTGGAAATGCTTCGCGTTCATATGCTGGAAACAGATGCCAAGCTGCGCGACATTACACCGCTCGAGACAGGGCTGGTGGCGTTGGAACTGCTGCAGTCCTCGCCTATAGAGGCTGACACTACTAATTTGAATTCACTCCATCTGCAAATGGCCCGGATACTGTTGTACAAGATCATTGGGTTCTATGTGGAGCAGCTGTCGACAGAGCGGCCAGTTATGTCACGTGTAACACGGCCTATGCCACGGCTATCGATGAACTTGGTCGATGGGCTGATCCGTGTGCGACACTTAGAAGCACTGACAACTTTGGCCTTGCAAAAGGGGGTGAACATACAATCGCGTGTATTGAATAGGCAATCGAGGATATCGAAACAAAGCTCATCGTTTTTTTGTTCGGTGGAAACGTTCCAACAGAAATTGGAAGATATCAAAATGTTGCAGAGAAACATGTATGATGTGGTGGACCAACTATCTCTTTGTGATGCCTCAACTTTAGATTCACGGATTGCAGAAGTATTGAAGAAACACGAAGGTATTGTATTGTTTTCGCGAGATGGCAATCCGTTTCCTGCGCCAGATATACCAGTGAGTAAAAATACACCTGGGGAGGGACCGGCATAATAAATGACAGAAATATACTCAAAATCAACGTATACTCTTCACATCAAATGCTGAGCTTTACCCACAGACAGTTATTGCAATGGAGCATTTTAGAATCAGAGATCAGTGTATAAATATCAGATACAGGTAAATCATTTACATCCGTTCATCCTGTATTGGTAAACTGATCACCGTTGTATGTAGCACGAAATCGTAGATTGTGTTCAATCTGCAGTTATACATCGACGATATGATCAAATTTGGCAACCCATGAAAAATACAGTAACCGAGATTGTTACACATGTTCAGAAACACCGCTAGGACCTTTTTTTCGTTCGGCATAGGCGAGTTACCGCTCCAGGACTACTTTCTGCCGGCAAGAGAATCGTAGTATTGTGATACACAACGGTATCGATTTAATATTTTTATATATATAATGTAACTTGGAACAAAGATATTTGAGGTGAATATTGTTTGATTTGGAAGGCTATGTAAAAAACCATTAGCACATATACGGCCACTTATGTGATGTGCACATGTGTTGACTTGTATTTTGTGCAGCTGCAGTGGCTATTCTTGAACTGTTGGACTATAGAAAACCCGGGTGTCTACATGGATCACTATAACTTTAGGTCTCTAGAAAGCATTCAACATCCGATATGATTTTTTCTGTGTAAGTTTGAGGCAACGGGGGATCGCGTGATACGATGAGACATTAGCATCCATAGGATCACAACCAATTACCCCTGTACTCGGCTTCTTATATGCATCAAGCCATGTAGATACACACTTTAACATGCTTCAAGGCCCAACGATATATAGGCGAACAAAAATTTAGCCGTATCTGGGAATAGATAGATTGCAAGCATAAGGGACACGCCTTATTGAAATTATACATTACCACAGTTACGCAATGTACACTCAATTTGGATCTAGCAAAGTGTTATCTGTTGTTTATATATTAAGATTAGCATCTGTTGTTTATATATTAAGATTAGCATCTGTTGGCTCGGGGGTAATCTTGCTACCTTTCATTACTAATATTTCCTTTCTTCGTTTCCATTTCTGCTGATCTCTCGCCGCCACTGTACTGATGTCACCTCGGATCACCGTACGTTACATTTTCCTCCGCAACACCTGAAGTTGTTCAAATTTGCGTGCTAACGTTTTTCGGAACAGATTGTCGGTGCTGCTGGTGTTTGTGACCATGTATGATTCCCTAACACGCATCTTTATATCCACACCATTCTTCATTGTAGCAACATAAGTCTAACACCTTCTGCAAATTCATCGCTGTCAAATATATCATGCATATTTAGATCGGTAGTAGAGTTGTAAACGCTTCGGCAAAGTAAATACAAAATGATACCGCCTGTGAGCTTGTCTCTGATATCACGAAACTTCCTTGCGTCCCACAAAAACCCTTAGCTCCGGAGGATTGCCAATTCGCGCACATACCAGTACAATAACATCCAGAAATATTCCACCAAAGTAAACTAAATACGTAGATGGATATACGAATATACATATATAAACAGACACAGACCCACACAGACCTACACACACATACAGCCACACACACCCACACCCACACCCACATACACATACACAGACACAAACACAGACAGACACAGACACAGACAGATACAGACACAGACACTGACACTGACACTGACACAGACACAGACACAGACACACACAC